ACACTTAATTGTATTTTTTGTCTTATTTATTTTAGCAATGTTCCACATATATGGCCAGACGTTATTTAAATAAAAATGTTTTCTGTGAATATGCATCTCTCTTTTTTCTTTTAAAAAATGTTTTCTGCCTCTTTCACGTCTCTTTTTCCTTTCATAACAGGCATTTATTTATGGATGACTGGGGATATTTTGTGTAGCCTTATTGGTTTTGTAAAGAGCCAATGAACAATTTATTTTATTCTATTTTTATTTTAGTCTAGCCTACTTTATTTTACAGAAATATACATCGGTTTTATTTAATTTTTAAAGCACAAATGCTGCATGATTTTCCCACATCAGATGACTTTATTTTAGAAACTGATAACGTTAGCTTAATATGGCTAATTTAATCTAATGTGGGAAACTCCCGATATCTTTAATCAAAGTAGGCTGCCACAAACATGTTAGCCTACATTTGAATTATATTTACCTGTATTTTTATTGTAATAGGGTGAAACTCGTTAAAAAAATTACCTGATAAATGCACACCTGTAGCTAACAAATTAATAGCCTAGCTTATTAAGCTAACCTTTAGCTGCGTTGCCTGGCAACCGTGTTAATAGCTCCACCGAGAGCTAGCCGTTAGCTCTAAGTTCGTCATGGCCGTTGAACTTAAAGCTAGGTGGACGTTTGTACAGCTAACGTTATACTGATTAAAAGCTATTTCATAAGTATTTTTTATGTTGTTTGTAATTACAAGAGGTCGACAAGCAAGCTGAGATAGGCTAATTCCCCAGCTGTCTAGGCTTATTTTACCCGGTTCCGTCGACAGACGATTAGCCGAACCGGGGCTCACTCACTCAGGCAGGCAGAGGCAGAGGCAGAGGCCCGGGGCGCAGGCTCAGCGGAGGGGGGAGGCAACACAACAACACGCCTTGGCATGCGGAGAGGGGAAGATGAGGGTGGGTATGAATGAGCACAGGCTCCTCAGACTCTGTGGAGTCAGTGAGCCGCTTTCCAGACGTTTTATGAACTCAGCCTAACAAGAGAAAAAGGGGAGAGGAACTCGGTCCAAGACAGCCCGGAGCTACAACATCATGGAAACATTTCTCACGTCTCACAAGTAAAGCCTGTGATCTCCGAAGACGAGCAGATTGACCTACATTATTTATGTGGCTCATGTAGGGCCTGTGGGCTACATGGTAAACACAGGCACACGTCCAAAAAACTAGAAAGCCCATTTTATTTAAGCTATTTTATCAGAGCTATTTTGACTCTGATAGATAGATCGAGCGGGGGGAGTTTGGGTTGGGGGGTATTAATAATATACAGTCCCATCACTTAGTTCTCATTCATGATCATCACTGTCTATCCCACACGCTTCCCTTCAAACAACCACGGGCCATAAAGTGGGATCGTTTCCTTGTACATAATTAGGACTGTAGCTTGTCAGCGGTTGCTATATCTCCATGATGGAGCCTCCTCCCTGGAGCTGACAGGATCCGATCCCAGACATGCTGCAGGTCTGTGCTGTGCTCCAACACATCTGCATATATATATTTATATATATATATATATATATATATATATATATATAGCCTGCCTTTGTGTAGGTGTTTGTGGATTTAATGTGCCTATACTGTTATAGTGCGGAGAATAAATGCATGCATCATGACAAGCCTGCACGATCACTTGCACCATGAACTGAAATAACACTGTGGCTGGTTTACTCCTAAATATTCACTCATGTGTGCTTTTCTTATAGGTACGCCAGCTGTGAAGTAATCAGCACAGATTTAAGAACAATATGTATAGATTTCATTATAATAATAATAATAATATTAATATTAATAATAGTAATGATAATAGATCTCTGGGTGTTTTCTAATGCTCGATTTCCACCAATGGATTAGAGCTGCTTTGGTTTACTTTTGCATTTCTCCGGGCAACTTGTAAATGCCATACCCCCTATCCTAATTTATACCCTGATCTGTAATTTCATCCACATTTGCTCTGGTTTGAGCATTCTGGCTTTCAGATCTGAAAGCCTGCAATTACTATATAATTCTTCGCAATTTTAGATGTCCTAATATGGGGTGTTATTTTTACACAAGACAATTTCCCGCTATTTCAAGCATCAACATTGTCAAAGTTGTATGTACATAATAAATGGGGAATATCAATGCATAGTTTTTAGCCTAACATCTTGACTCAACGATAATTATATCCGTGTGGAGCCTACGCAGAATTAGCCTGAATTGCATGGTAACTGCTGCTTTAAATTTTAAAAAATTACTCATAATTTCCCCCAAAGATTACCAAGATCTCGAGTGCACAATGTCATCAGCGTAATGAGGAGTAAACATTTATGCTAATAATCTACATTTTTTTTCCATCAGCTATAAAGAGAGGGAAATAAAGCAGACATTTTCAGTCATATTCTGAACTCTGCTGCTATAGCTTAGACCAACACATGGGACACATTTTGGGGGATTTAAGCGCTTATCTTGTGTCTGTGCTGCAGGATGCTGCTGCTGCTGCTGCTCGTCTGCCTGCTGATTTCTGGAGAACCCTGGGAGGGAACCTGCCTCTTCATTGCAAGCCGAAAGGTGTGTATTAAATGTTTATTTCTTAAATATTCACTGAAAGTAGCACGACGGGTGAATGCATTTGAGATGAGCAAAAACAGGAAACAGACTAAGCATAATTTATCCATTTTGGTCTTGCATGCAGCATTTATTTATTTTTAATTCTTAGTCACATCTATGAATGTTCTTTCATGATATAAAACTATTTCAAAGGCTGCTTCTTCCCCAGTATAATCTTAGGGCTATTTTAACTTAAAAAAAAGTCTCCGGTGTTTAATGTGTTGCTTTTGTGCAAAAAGTCCTATAGTAAAGAAAGCTGCTCACACCGAGAGGAAATGTAAGGAAGGGGAGACACACAAGTTGTTCTTTAATCTCGTCGCTGCTCTCATTACGCTTACATTGTGCTTTGCTAATTTTGAAGCCTCTTCGCATTGACAACTCCGTGATGTACACCTGCAAGCAATTTGCCAGCCTTACACATAGGCTAAGTCTAAGGGAACAGTGACGAAATGGCAGCTCACCTATTTCGCTATATTTTTTTTCTCTCTCCTCTATTGCAGCAGCACATTTCTTTCAGAGCACTGTCTCTTTTGTCAACGCAGAAAGCTCCTCCGTGCGAAAAAAAAATGCTCATAATTACCTTAGAGATAGGAAACTGCATTAGAATAAATAAGGGCGAAATTACTGTAATTATGCTGGGTTTGATGGGCTCAGCTCGTATAATCAAGGGGAGAATACAGCGAAATAACGCTGACCCTCTTGGATGTGCAGCTGCGCCTTTCTGGGGCTAGGTAGGCAGATTTATGTTCACTACAGCAGCAGCAGCAGCACAATTCATATTCTTTCTTAATGGTATCGAAATATACATAGGGTTGTTATACTTCTTGCACACAAAGGGCTGTGTATGTTCTGAGCTTTGTATTAAAAAAGAGACAGGGTTGTTACAGGAATGTTACACAAGCAGCAGACAATAGATAAACTGGGCCAAAGCTTTTTTGTTTTTAGTCTCTCTGAAGCGGATTCGTTTAGTCTGATACTGCTGCTGTATATGATAATAATAATAATAATAATAATAATAATAATAATAATAATACATTATTTTTTGCCCATTTTAACAACGAATACACATGAAATAAATTAGAAATGAATTCGGTTATGATGTGATGTATATGGGCTCGTGCTGGCCTCTTTAAGGGATGCTGCACACTGCACAAATGGCATCAAATTTGTCATTACAATTGCAAAACATGCATATATTCATGGAGCTATTGCAGCTGGAGGATAGGGCTACAAGTCGCGCATTTGCAATGAATTTCTTTCTTTCGTTCTTTGTTTCTTTGCAGGCACGGACATTAATATTTAAACCTCAGATATATTGTTTTCTGGAATATTTTCTTTTTTGTTGTTTTTTATTTTCTACATTCTTGTTATTTTTGCAATCTAGAGTAAATGCTGTTTGAATGGACAGGTAATTCCACCTGTGTCTAATTTCAGTTAACATTTTCTAAAAATCATAATAAATAAAATGCATGCCCATTTTTTATTTTATAGCATGTCAAATCAGACTAGTTGTATGTGAACACATTTTGCGATTTAAAATAACCTAAAGGGCCTCCTGCAAGATTGCGTAACTAGAGCCAATGAATAAAGTGTGAAGCCCAAACAAGAAGGCCTTTGAACTTTCCACTTTCACTGATCTCCATCTGATCCGCCCTGTGTCCCCGCGTGCTCGTCCAGTCTCTTTGCAGCACCTGCCTCTTGCGCAATTATTCACTTAACACACACAAGTGATCTCTCCCATTCACGGCAGAAAAATGGGGATTGTCGCAAGACAAATAGAAGATTATCTTCAAGTAAAGCTTGAAGAAAAGAAATAAGCGGTGTTGTTGAATGAATCCAGGTCTCCCGCACCGCGACGGTTAGATGGCGATGATAGAAATGATGCAGCTTATATCGGCCGGGATTCACAGCCGTTGTGTTTTCTATTTAATGTGATGCATGCAACAGTAAAGATGTTTTCGTGCAGATGCATGGGAAGTCATATTTTTTAGATGCAATGTCAGATTTCTAATTCTCCACTCCAGAGGTTTGGCAACATCTGCAACCAGTGAGCAGCAGCAGCAGCAGCAGCAGGAATCCATATAGGCTAAATGCTAAACACGACCATAAATCTAAGCGACGAGCCTTTTGCAGCTCACACAAACGCTCTCACACGGTGTCTGCTACAATAACCAACATGATACCGCTTTGTGTCAGCTCGCATTAAACCTGCACCATGCTGAAGCCTTTCTTTTCCAACATGAGAGGAGGGGTGGATGAGAGAGGAGTGGGGGTGGTGGTGTGTTGAATCAGACACCTTTCTTGACATAATTTAAATCATTATTTTACTGCTTTTGAAACTTTGCACATTATGTACATAAACTTCAGAAACAGATCAATAAATTAAAGTGATCAATACAAAACTAAATATTTTCTATGTTGACTAAACACATCTCGACGAATACAGAAAGCCTAAAACCCTGTTTCACAGCGTATCCAGTACAGCACAAAAACAAATCTGAAAATTATGTACAAAATACAGTGACAAATGAGCTGCTCATCCTCCGGGTATTTTTTTTCTAAAGCAGCAAATTGTCAGGCCTTTTCCTTTTTTTTCACATAACATCGGGGCACGGCATAGAAAAGCTTTGCTTGCGTTAGTGCAGCATTAACAACACAGTGTTGTTATCTCAAAACACACTTACAAAATGAACACAGACTTACCTCAACAGAAAAACTAGTCTGAATAATTTAACTTAAATAACAAACACATATAAACAACATAGTAGCGATTTGAGGCTTTGCACAATATGTCCTGTGGTTGAATGTGCTGTAAGCATTATGGTGATGGTTTATTAATTGTAATTATTTGGTTAAAGAAACACCCCTTATGGCCTAATAGACCTTTAACTGTTAATGAATGCAGATTGGTTTCAGGTCAGCATCACTTTGGGTCCAACATCTGGTGTAAACAAACACGTGTTTTCTTATAAACAGAATAACTCACACAAATATGATTAAAAAAATATAGAAACTGACACAAAAGTGATAAACAGCAGCCAAAAAAGGATCTATTTGTCTTCCATTTCCGCTGACTGTCACAGACTTGTTGCCCTTGGGCGCAATGCGTGCCTTTTCAGTCTCTCAGCTCCCTCCCTTCATCTTCTACGCTGCTTGCCGTCACGAGGAGGCCACTGCAACTGGCGGCGTGCGGCAGCAAACTCCGGGGTTGTTGTTGTGTATTATCAGTGCTGGGCCGCGCAGAGGCCCCTTCACCATCCCGATACACGAGCCATGGCAGAGTCGAGGGCTGAGGTCTCTGTTCACATGAGCTGTGACTGTTGCATAGACTCTTGGTGTGTGGTTGGATACCATGAGGTGTAGCTGGGAATGTAAGATCCGGTTGTCCCCACCGAGGTCTTCACGGTGGTCGGCGAGCTCCAGACAGGTGCCACCGAGGGAGAGCCGCTCGACAGTCCGCGGCCGGTGGCTAAAGCGTTGGTGTCAATTGTGCCACCGCCTTGCTTCATCAGTTTCTTGAATTTAGAGCGTTTATTTTGAAACCAAATCTTCACCTGGGGAGACAAAGGAAATTATTTGGATGAGAAAACTGACTAAAGGAGCGTTAGAAAAGAATTGGACACCTTTTACGCACGCTTTACGCACGCAGTAGATTCCATTGTATAAAATCAAGAGAAAAAAAAATATATATTCATATCTTGCCCTTGATTATGGTATTACTGTATTAAGATGTCATTGATATTAACACATGAATGGCCGGGTAAATTCAGGGAAAAAATCCTTAAATTGGTGTCAAACATTTCATATTATATTAATATGTGATGATCCATATTGATTGTAATAATGGAGCAATTATAACAATAAACATGCATACTGTAAAAAAAAGAAATGAGGTTTAAAAGGCGTAAAAACGTCCAGTGGTGCTGCTGCAGTGTGAAGCTATTTGTGTTTTTCGTGGACTTGCCTGTGTCTGAGTGAGACCCAGCGACGCTGCGAGCTCAGCCCTCTCCGGTAATGCCAAATATTGAGTTTGTTGAAATCTCCTGTTCAGAGCTTGAAGTTGTAAACTGGAATAGATAGTCCTTGGTTTCCTAATCTTTTTCCCTTTCCCGTTGAATCGAACCTCTCCGCCTTCCACCACCGTGTTTTTCTCTGCTTCTGGCGCTGGGAGAGACAGAAAGGAGCAAAGAGAAGGTAAAAAATGAGGAGGCAGTTGTAGCCAACGGTGCTGCGCAGCTATGAATACTCCAGCACAAGTTTTACAGGCTGTACTTTAGGTATAATTACCCTTAATTGCATACATTGTTTATAGCGTTACGCAATAAATAATTACCAAGCCTAATTCCAACATCTGGGTCGTCTTTTTCGCTACAGCGAGGACTGTATACACATGAGAGCCGTGCCAACACAGAAAGTTCATATTTAAGATCCAAAGATGCTGTTGCACACTTACCTGTCTCCTCTAACCGCGTCTGTGTGAGTGCCGAGCTGTTTTGGTAAGTCTGTACTGTGCTGAGATATGGACTGGTGGAATGGCTGCCGACGGAGTTTACGTATGGATAACCCAAAGATCTAGGGAACGACGAGGCTGGACTGTAGCTGTCGTGCTGGGTATGACCTGCAGAATGTAAACAGTGCATTGGATAGTGTCCGTGAGACATGGAGGAAGGCGACATTTGTTGACTCGGGGGTCCAAACTCCATGAAAACGGTTTTTCCTGAGGCAGGGCTATTAAGACTTTCTGGAATTGTAGTCATTGTCATCTCTTCTGGAGGTTCCCCTTGTCTTGCTTTTGTTGTTTTCCTTCTATGATCTCAGTGAAGGATGAGTCCCAATTTAAGCCGAACTGATTTTTTCTCTTTCCATTCATAAGAAAATGTAGTTTGTGCCTGTGAAAAGTCCTAGGTATGATGCTGTGGACCAAGACAAACTCGCTCAAAGGTTTGAATCTCGGACTCATGAATATTCATCAAGACTGTCGCTGATTGGTCCACTCTCTCCAAGAGGGAAGCCGATTGGCGACGCTGGGGCTGGGTCCGAAGAACCTGATAAAGTCAAGGAAAACCACAAAAACCTATAAGATATCCTCATGACATGTCAAGATTCATTATTATTATTATTTTAAAATTAATATTATTACTATTATTAGTCACAGTTCTTCAAATAACAACATCAATTTAAGCCACAAAATTTTAAAAAATAATCCATACCATAAGGTGATAACACCTTATCCACTGTTGTCTCAACCCTGTCCACATAATATTTAATATTTAATAAAATATTGTCATCTGTAGCGGCACAGCGCTGCATAACACGGCACCACCAGGTTTGCCACATTGTATTAAAGGTCCAGGTTGTCACATAAGCGTCATTAATTAATGTTAAATTAATATTCCGGCCTCGTTAAAGGGTGCTCTTTACTGCTGGCCAGTTTGATTAAAGCTCTATCTGGGTGAAGGTGTATTAGCATAACACTAGTGTTCAATTTTCATAAGTAGGTCTGTAATTAGTCATGTATTTAACACTTACAGTGGTTTGAGGTCTCAGTTACACCTGGCAGCATGTGGGACGGTAAAACAGTTGTGCTCTAATGTCAAATGAGGTTTGTTGGTTCAGGTATATATAGGCCCTGATGATGTTTTATAACACCTGAAATCATATAACATCACAGCACACAAAATAGCAAATAATATTTTTTAAATTAGCAGATCAATGTGTAATTGTAGTCTATTTTAAACAACTTTAAAAAAAAAGGTAATAATGAATTAATTAGGAATTATTACACAACAATATAATATATAATTGTGGGAAATTGTTGGTTATATTTTCTTGCTTCCCACCGAGCTATTCCCTGTTTCACAACACAGCCATGAATGCACGCAGGTCTATTGCCTTATCACATTTCAATGCTTTCCATACGACTTTACGCACCTTCCATCGCAATCAATTAATGGTCACAGTTTTGTTAAACACTGGCACCTTTGATTAGCATGAATCTAAGTGAGGACGGGGGTGCGGCCAGCCTCCCATGCCTATAACAAGAATAATTATCCATGGACATTTGATTTAATTGAACTGACGACTGAGTTAACATAGGAGACTTTTTTTCTCTTGAGTTGCAGGTTTAGACCTCCACAGCTCAAAAGCTCTAACTGCTGCAGCTGCAAGCAGAGTTTAACCAGGCTATATTAAAAAAAAGATCTTGATTTCAATCAGCAGCTAAAAGCAACTTACTTTAAAAATCAAGTGATGAAAAAGAAGCAGATAAATCCGCGCCATCCGGGGGTCAGACAGCCTCTGCAGGACGCGCTTGGTGAAAGAAGAAAAAGCAGAAAGTATCCAGCAGGTCTTCATTTTTATTAGGATTCATTTGCAGGTTGCAGCTCGTGTTCTGGTGTCTGTGCAGAGCAGAAACACAGGCTGGCTGCTCCATCCGCAGTCCCTCCATCTCCACCTGAATAACAAATTAAAGGCAGTTAAATTCCGTCACTGTGATTATCAGTGTAATTGCATAATTGAACTCAAAACAGAACTAGCAAGTTGCAAAATGTGTTATCAAAATGCAGGCGCTGACATCACGGCACGTGTGCCACAGTGTGCCAGGCGGCTGGGGATGCCTGAATTTAAAGATTTCTGTGCAATATTAGGCTATAACGAAAGCTGGTCCCTTGTCCCCCTAAAATAGGCCAATTTGAAGTGATTTCTCTGGAATTACTTTCGAAAAATGCTTCAAGATTTCCTCTATCAACAACGACAATGATAATGGTAGTACAACCAATAATTATCATCTTCCAGAACAGAGGACAGATTTTTATGGGTACTTGGTGGGTGCGACTGATAACTGTCATTATTTTCCCACGATTATAGTATCTGCAAATTGACACGCGGCTGTGAGCAAAACCATTAACAGAATAGAGGCAGAATTTGAAGAAAAATGTAAAATAACACCACGAGTATACTACTATACTATTAGTACTACTACTAATAGCAATAATAATTACAGGCTTTTTGTTGGAAATAAATGTAATTTAGGGCTGAGCAGATATGCTGCATAAATCATTAATTTTTATTGATACCATTTGCAAAATCAATCTTTTACAAAGTGTTTATTTGCTTGCAACTTAAAGGATTAACTATTTATTGGAGTGTTTCTTTTTTGTCTCAAGCCATCGTCAGTGTCATTAAGGATGAGCAGGCGTGTGATAATATTACCACTTTAATTTATAATTTGACTCCTGCGCTCGCTGGCAGGAGGGCAGCGCAGGCCACCACGGCGGTGCGTCCTGCAGCATGGCACAAGGGCTCTAACTAGCCACACTAAAAATAAAGTCCTCCATGCATGGATGGAGCGCGGAGGCAGGACTCATTAGGAGTGAGTAGCTCTGTGGCTGAGGGTGTTTTAACACCTGCTGCTCTTCACCTGAGGGTTAGTGCAGAGGTGGAGAGACAGAAAGAGGGGGGGGGGGGGGGGAAACGGGCCAAGATGTCACAGACTTCATTTCAGGCCGGTGATAGAAAGCCCTCCTCAACTGCCATGCCAACCCACATTTTCACAGCCACCAAATATTATCCCGACCGCGGTGCGTTGGTAAACTGTGTGTCCATGCTGCGTGAAGGCACAGCTCCATGTGCACCCTGCAGACTCTGCATGTGAGCTGTGATTAATTATTGTCATTGGAGTTGCAGGGATTTTTTTTATTCCCCTTCCTTATAGGGAAAACAAAATGCAGGTGTATATTTTTACATATTTTTTCCAGCTTTGGTTTAATCATTTCCACATTATTTGATAATTTCTTGGGATTTTCTGTGCGAATTAAAAGATGAAAAGCCTTTTTGAAATTAATAATTCTGCTGTCTGTTTGATGCATGGCCTGAACATCATGCTGCATAAATATCCATCTCAAATATATAAATTCATAACAAAAGATAAATTGTTCTCTCACTCTATACTGCCTTTTTTTACATTAATACACCAGCTCATCATGTCTGACACTGCCCATCATGGACATTATTACCACACGACCTGAGCTCCAAATGCAAATGTGATTCGGCGCGTGACTTCCTGCAGAAATGTCACACTATACGCAGGTTTATTTTACGTTTTTAAAAGCAGTGGATCAAACAAGTGAAATTGCCTTTTGTTCTGCTTCCTCTCTGGCTTGGCTGCTCGCTGCCATCCTGTAATTTGCAGCAGCGTCAATGAACGCAAACTAGAGGCACTACAATTAACTCGATTCAGTGTCTATTTTCATGTGCAATGTGGCATCAAAATGTGAATTGATTTTGTTTACTGAGTTAAACGTAAACAAAAAAATGATTCATAATATCTGAGAGACTGGATTGTCATATTGGTTAATTGATTGCATTATCACAGGGGTCAGGAGGGACACAGGGGGAAATGAAATCATGTTTTTTATTGTTTTCAGAAAATACAAAAACCTATTTTTTTTCCCAAATGTACTGTCTCACAATAATTTAATGTAGCTACCTTACTTTTGTGTAAATACCTAATTTTAATACTTTATTTTATTCCCTGCCAGTAAGGTCACACTCTAGTTTATGAAATTAAATTATACTAAGATTTTTTTTCTCTTCTGAAGGGCTCAATAAGTTATTTATGTCCAGAAAAAAAACAGATTTACCCAGTTCAAATTAAAACATTTTGTGTTTCTCATCTGATAATAATTGAGTGTTTGTAAACACAAGGAAATATCAATAACTTGTTATACAGTAAATTAAAAAGATCTGTCAGTCAGTTTGAGTTATAGCAAGCTCAACTCCTGTTTCATATCTCGGTGTTCGGAGCTATTTATTTATATTTGGATCACATATTGTGCCTTTAATAGATGCTAAAAAGTAGAATAATTTCTTGTAATGACTGCCAAAATATTTTAAATGTTTTCTATAGCAAATAAATAATAAAGCAATGGGAAAATGTTGTTCAGTATAATAATGATTGTTCTGTTTGTTTTCAGGTGTTGATGACTGCGAGGAAACTGCATCACATCAGGTTCAGATGACCAGATGCTGCTGGGACTCAAACCTGGACTTGTTGCTCTGCAGACGACTCACACCACTGCTGAGCCTTGAAGCCTGGTGATAATAGAAATAAGGAGCCAATGATTGTGGCATTAGTATTTTTTTTTATTTTTTCATATATCTTCATTTAGTAACTTCTCACAAAGAGAGGCAAATCAGAAACATTTTGAACTTAAGTGACTCTTTAATTTCCAGCAAATGAAATCTCTAACTGCAAAAACTTCTCCTGTAGATGAAAAGGAAGGACTCTGTAATCATCATGTGTGTAATAAGACTTAAAGCTGGTCATTGCAGTGCTGAGAAGTCATATTTCAACTCCTTCCCCCCCCCCCCTTCAGTGTTCAGAGCAGCTCTCTCCTCAGAAAGCTGGGGGTCACGGTGTGGAAAAGCCCCCAGCGAACTGGTAGAAATGCTGTCCCCATTACAGCAGCAGCAGGGGTCAGGCCATGGCAGCAAGCATCCAACCTGCCCGAAATTGGCTGCAAAATGACCAATTACCTGAGTGAAGGCTGGGGAGAAAGGACTTGGAAAAATATGGCTTTTACTTAATTCAGCTAAACTGTAAAAGAAACCAGTGTCACAACAACGCTTCATAGTTGCTACATGTCTCAGCATCCCCAATTGTTAAGTGAAGATCTGGGCATCAAATTGTCAACTAATCAGAAAATCAATTTTAAGGATAATCGAAATTTAATCAACTCGTAGTCTGTGGTGATGTGGCAGAGCTGCATGGCAGGAGTAGAATCCATATAACACGGCTATAAGCTGGGGAATTATTTCACCAACACTAAAACAACGATTGATTAAACATCTTTACATGTAGGTCTTATTGAATTAATTTCCCTGCAAATGGAAAACATGCAAATTCGCCAATTAAGTCATTTGCCCATGGAGAGCCGGGCTGCTTGACGTTCAGCTGCCACTGCGCCTTTAGTCTGAAACCCCTTTTTAGTTTTTGTTAAGAGTTAAGTCTCC